AGCTGGTCTGGTTAGGCAGCTTACTGGAGGGGAGAACAAAATAAAGAACTCAGCATTTGGGCAATACTCATTCTTTGCTTAAAGTGACATTAAAGGATACACCCCCCCCTCCAATGTTAGTGTAAGGACTTACCTTAAATGATGTCTCTTAATCCAATCATCTTCTTCTTTACTGTCCTTTTCAGATGTCCCTCCAGCGCTGACTCCTCTGTCCTCCTCTGATGTCCCACGGTGTCTGTGCGGTTGCACGCTGCTCCATAGACTTACCTTGTGTCTCTCCTCGTCACCCGGCCAAACATCTGAAGTGCGCTTGAGCCAGCCCCAAGATCCTTTACGGCCGTCTGAGACTCTTCAGATGTTCGGACGGGAGCGCGAGGCGAAGACACAGGTAAGTTAAAAAAAACAAAAAACCTTTTGAAACAGGTTTAAAGTTTTTGCATATATCTACTGCTTGCTAGCAGTGGATATATGCAAAAAAAAAACCTGTGAGGGTTTAATAACCTTTTAATGAATGGGATGGATGTGGGGAGGTGACACAGAAAGCTACAGAGCTACAGTTCTGACTATTTAGGGAGAAGCACAAGGCCAGCCGAACAGAACTGGCAGGTAAAACAGTTCATCCATATCAGGGGTAGCCAAACGCCGGCCCTCCAGCTGTGGTGAAACTACCAATCCCATGAGGCATTGCAAGATTCTCACAGGCTCAGACATGACTCCCGGAGAGAGATGCATCATGGGATTTGTAGTGTCACCACAGCTGGAGGACCAGAGTTTGGCTACCCCTGATCTATATGCATTTCATAGCTGTTTAGCTGCAATCCCACCATATAAAATATATCCAGATCATTTTTTTTTCCCATTCTGCCTAGACCTGCTGCTGCTTGTAGTCCTTCTGTGTGTATAAGACTGTAGATGGCCCACCTCCACAGATCTGTCCATGAAATGAAATGTCCATCATCGTTGCAAACCTTTGGGTTCGGGAGTCTATGCTTTACTTACAGAGAGCAGAGACAATGTATGTGTCACTTAAAGCAGAACTCCAGCCAAAAATGGACATTAAAAGGATAAAATAAAATAAAAGATAAAATAACAAAACCGGCTTCATCTCCAATCCAGAGATCCCCCAGTTATTTTTTTCTGCCACTAGATATCCTCAGTCTTATATCCAGCATTATTTAACCCATGTCCTCTTAGCCCAGATCATCATGCACACATCTCCAACCTGTAAATGGAACAGTGAAAAGTCGGTTTTCCGGTATCAAGTACGAGTACCGAAATTCATATTTCAGTACTTGCCGATACTTCCGCTAGCATGGAGCCGACTTCCCGGGCAATCGGGGAGCCAGGCGGCTTGCCATTACCCACTGCCCGGCTTCTTGATTGCCCAGGAAGCCGACTCCATGCAGTTTGGCCGGCTCGGTGCTGACTGGCCCAGAGCCTGCTACTGCGCATGCATAGCCTGCCTAGCGCTCTCATTCACAAATCCTCTAACAGGATTATTATTATACCACTGATCACGCAGGCGGTGCGGGCGCTGTACACACACCGGAGTCAGGCGGCATTTGTACATCTCGTGAGACTGAGACATGGGCAAATCCAGGTGGGGTAAAGCGGCTTGGAGTGCGGTTTCTGCCCGGCTGGCCGAGAGACATCTGTGGTACGGTGATGACTGTGCTCAGGATGAATATGGGTGTGATGCGAGGGGAATGAGGTGTCTGCAGGATGGAGGTTGTGCCACCATATTATCAGATCTGCTTGGCCTGCTTGATGCTGATTGGCTGGGAAGCCGGCATCTCGCCCAAACAGCATGGAGCTGGCCAAATAGCATGAAGCTTCCTGACTCCATGTTCCCTCGCAGCACTGCTGGTTAGAGGAAAATCTACCTCTGACCGGAAGTTCCGGTATCGGAGCATTTGGCCGAGTATGAGTACTCGCCCAAATACTCGGTATCGGCACCGATACTAGTATTGGTGCATCCCTAGTAAAAAGAGAAGTAACTCAGTGACGAGCTCATCTCTGTGTCACTCTGCTTTCTTCTATCAGCATGCTTCTTGTCAATACATGGACAGATTGGCTCCTTGCACTGCTTCTTCCTCTCAAACTCCAGCACTGCTATACAAGGACTGCAAAAGCCTGATAACACGTCATATTCATGTTCTTACTCTACTTGCATTAATGATGTATTAATGATTACCGAGCTGCATTTGTATCTGCCTGGAGTTCAGCTTTAATTACTCTACACCTCTGAATGTAATACTGATTCCAATGCATGGTTACGGACAGGCCCCTGACAACCAAACATCATGTGTTAAAGCCATTGAAATTGTGTTTGTATCTTGGCAACCTGTAACAGGAAATTACAGATTAATGTTCTTCCTGTCACAGTATCAGTTTTCTGTGATCTCCCAAAATTCTTTGCAGACCAACCTGCTAACTTACAAGTAAGTATTTTTCAGTATATTAGTCACTTTAAAAGTTTAATCCAACCAAAACTGGAGCCGAGCATATAAAAGTGGCTTGTTAGAATTAAAGCTCAACTCCAACTCCAGTCAAAACTTATTTTTAGTTTACAAAAGGAGGGGAGAAGGTTTAGAACCTCTGATAAAGCAGACCTTTACCCCCTTTAACTAAAAATCACATCACAGGCAGCTCTGCATTCTGATATTAAATCATTTTACATTCAATAGTTAAACAAACATATTTTTCTCTTACTTACAATGATTGTGTTTCCACTTCCTGGTCATCTTGGGTATTGGTGATGTAATGTCCTTAAGCAATGCATTCTGGGAAGGTTACATCACCAATGCCTTCTGGGAAAATCTCATTTGTAAAGTAAAAAAACTGGCAAGATCTCAGGCAAAAGCATTTGCTCCTAGTCACGTGTGCCAGAGTCCCCGGAAGTAAAGGGAGATGAGTTAGCCTGTCCTTAGTAAAAATGGCCACTGTGAGAAGAATGGGGAGGAAAAGTAATAAGGAATGCAAAGAATAGGACGCCGGCAATTATGTAGAAGTATGTGTTTGTAGACTGTCAATACTAAAGACTTCTAAAAGGTGTTTTTGTTGTCATTTTTAAATATATGGCTAAAGTTCCTCTTTATTTTTTAATACGGTCTGTGTCCCTATAGAGGAGATTTACAACTGTAACTGCTTGGCCAATCAGATAACGCCTAGTATTCATTGCAAAAAATACTACATGTCATCTGAATGGCCGCTATACTCAGCTAGTGACTCTCTGGGGGCAATTTATCAGAACTGGAGCAGACAAAACCTGAAGCAGCTGTGCATGGCAACCAATCAGCTTCTTTCTTCCGTTAAGATTTGAAAATGAAAGGTAGATGCTGATTGGTTGCCATGCACAGCTGTTCCAGATTTTGTCTGCTCCAGTTTTGATAAATTCACCTCTTTAACAGTGCAGGGAAGTCGCTCAGCATAGTGGCTGTAGCAGGGAACTGTAATACACTGTAGTAGCTGTGACAACTACAGTGTATTACAGGATCCCCGTGGCCCTGCCAGGAATAATATATGTGTACCAACATTGTGCTCAGCTGGATCAATGTGAGTATATATAAATCATTACAGCCGGAGTTCAGCTTTAACAGATACTGCAAGTTAGTGCAAGTTTTTTAACGGATTCTTTCTTTTTTGCCCATTCTGGAAATGGTTGCGATACCCAGATGTTTATACACAAGGTAGAACAATGAAATATACATTTTAAAAATAATACAACTATGTTTTTTTTTTACACACTTAGGTGGTAAAGACGTAAAGGGTTAGGCTATAGAGGCAGAGCCTCTTTGTATGTGAACAGGATGTCACTGTCCAGTTGTGCGAGTTTCCTTAGCTGGTTTGCTAACACAGTACAATACTCCACCACTGCTATGACGGAAGATACCACAACAATCTACCACACTTTTCTAGAACTGAAAAGCTGAAGAAACTGGCACAACTGGAGAGTGACGTCTCTATGGCCTAACCCTTTACAACAGCATTTACCACCCAAGTGTGCCAAGAAAAAGCAGATACATTTTTTAAATAATGAATTGCTCCACCTTGTAACTTTATTTAAATATGTGGGTTTCAGAACCAGGCCACCATGCGAGACCAAGCTAACCATGCACTGTAATATGTGCATCGCAATTGCTTACTTATATGTCATTGCTGCTATGAGCAGGACTCCCACTCAATCTAGATCAGTGGTGGTCAACTTACGTGATATGGGGGGCCTCAAGTGCAGCCCCTGATACCGGTGGTGGTATCGTACCACCAATGGTATCGTACCACCAATAATATTCAGTGACTGTAATGCTAGCGAAAGCTGCCAGAGATTGCAGACGTGCAGCAGGAGCTGGTCAGAGACTACACACATTATATAAGGGTTGTTGAAGTTCGGTTGAGACAAGTAGACTGTAGACACGCTACATGAGACTGCTAGAGATCACTGCTATTACAGCCCCTATACAAATCATTGCTTTGACATTTGTGCTACTTATGCTATTTACAGCCCATTTAAACATTATGGGAATGATTTATAAATCATCCACCTTGACGCTTGCGCTGGCCAGATTCTGTCCAAATGGCATCATTGCCACTAGATGGAGGCATGGAGTTTAGGATTTCCTATGCTCCTTGGCTCCATCTAGTGGCGGGAATGTAGAGCTTCATTTGAAAAAAATTGTTTTCTGAACATTCATCCAATTTCCTAATAGCTAATTGGGTCAAATGGACAATTGTCTTCGACCGTTTTTCTTATGAGCATTTGTACGAAAATCTACAAGTGCATGGGCAGCTAAATAGTCAAAGTACTGCTTGTGTCCCCTGGGCTGCAGATTGGGCATGAGGGTCCTTGGTTTATTTTTCATTATAGAAAATGCAACAGGATTTTTTTTAGTTTTTGGCTGGTTTGGTAGTGCTTCCAATATACAAAAAGAAACCGTATGTTGGTAATGATCATGGCAGTGGGACGGCCAATGCTATAAGCAACGAGGTAGTCCTCATCTTACCTAGGGCTCCTTGACATATGTCTGTCCGAGTTGCTCCTCCGGAGATGAACTGGGGACTGGAACACAGCTCCTAGAAGGCAAGCAGGACATTCTGTTAACAAGCACTATCCATATTCAGACTAACCTCTAAAAGTAATATAACCTACTACGAAATTTCAAAAACCCAACCAATCCCTCTGTGGACAAAAAAAACAAAAAACCTTACGTCAGGTCAGACATTAGAATTTGACTGGATAAAAATTGTATGAATTGTTAGGTAAAACCTAATACTACAAAGGGAAATTCCTCCAGGGTCCTTCCCATGAATAAATGATGGATTTGATTTGCTTCCAATGTTTTTATAGCCCCATCATATTATGGAGCGATTTAAGCTCTATCCAGATCAGCGTGTTGCAGAAATGTGCACTAAAATGTACCACAATACAAACATCGGTACTATCCGTCCACAACTTGACGTAAGCAAAGGAGTGGGGTGCAGCGATGCCATTGACCTTATATGGCTACATGGCTATATCAGGTAAATTACATTTACCTAATATGGCTATGTGGCCATATAAGGTCAATGACATCAGCACAAGCATCCCGCCCCTTTGTTTGTGCTCAACTGGTGCGGCGGGAATGTCTTGACCCGCAGCTGATTAGGCGGGGAATGCCTCAACTTGCAGACAATTGGGTGTGGAATGCCCCAAACCGCAGACGATTGGGTGTGGAATGCCATGACCCGCAGACGATTAGGTGTGGAATGACCTACCAACCCGCAGATGATTGGGTGGGGAATGCCCTGTTCTGCAGATAATTGGGTGTGGAATGCCCGACCTGCAGATGATTGGGTGGGAGGACCATGTAGCTTCTGGGTTGGGATGAGCTTAGGTTTGGACTGGGTTCAGTCCAAACCTGAGCTCATTCCTAACCACAATGCACCCATGTAAACGACATGTGCATTGTGGCACACTGCGGTAAAAAAAACATTGCGGGTCTGTTAAAACTTCCATGATTCGAAGTTTAGCTGATTCGGGAATCAGACGAAATTCAGCATGGCATGCTGATGTGTATTTGGACTGCAACAGGAAGCAGGAATACCCAAAGGAAACCCACACAAAGACTGAGATAATTGTTAAAGAGGCCCTGTCACCAAATTAAAAAAAATCCTGGTTAAAGCATCCAAAAAAACGAGTGCTTACTTGCAGTGTTTTTCTTTCCATTAATTCTTTTTTTCCCCCCCACTTACAAAGTGCCTTTTAACTTGACAACTACTATTAACTAGAAAATTTGACTACTTCAGGAAGAGTCAATTCCCTAGCACAGCTTCCTTCTTCCTTGTATGTCATAGCCCTCTCCTCTTCTGGGAGTGTCTAATTACTGTCTGTGCTAGCCCAACTTCTCCATCCCTCCCCTCACCTCCCTACATATTCTTTTATGTAGCTCCGGCGAGAAGCAATGGTGAATACTATAGAGTAACAGCTCTTAGTCTGCTGGGGCAACTGACATCACATCCAAGATGGTGGCACCCAGAAGCAGTCTCAGGGCTTTTGGCTGTCTACACAAGGGACGGTATGATTGGTAAATAAATACCATGCATGAAATAGGTTATATACGCATACCATCTTATGGGAAGATTTTTGTTAAAATGGATGGTCTGGTAAAAGGTTCTTGACCTCTTGGAAGGTATAACAATTTACATAGCATCCATACACCAAGGATTGTCCACGGCTGCCTGCATTATAGAAGACTTCCCCTTCCCCCACATGTGAATGACAGGGCGCTCATCTTTAGCCTGACAAACAATCTAAAAATATATAGAAATAAAGAAAATCAATCCACAAGCTTCCTGCCGTGTATGTGGACGTGTGCCAATGCGGCTTTTTACCTTATTCCTTTAGCTAATGTATTCCTCCATAATTAACTCTGTCCCTGGGAAAATGCAGAGTCAGCAGGCATCAGTGAGATTGCACTTCCCACATTTATTCATAACATAGAGCTAACAGTGAGGGCAATTAATGTCAGTATTGCCAAAACCCTGGAAGCTCTGCAGGGTTATTATCAGTAATGGAGGTCATTGAAGTTAAAGGCTGTGTACCCCTGGCAGTCAGATTTCTTGTGGTGGTCAGGCATGGGGCAGCGCTGGTGGCTTCAACACCAGAACTAGCACTGCTACCACAATTGAGGTAACGGTGGCACCCAGAGCAGGATGGAAGCCTTGTAACTGTCATAGTCATAGGTCCTCTTTAAAAGGTCCTACAAGAAAATGTTGCCTCTAAACAAATCTAGGATACAGCCTACCTTGTGATTGGTTGCAAAGCAAAGAATCGTGTATAAAGTCTTTGATCTACAAAACCAAACAATATTATTACAATGTATGCATGAGTGAAGATTGCAGATACTACGTGCAGGCTTTATTCACAAAGGAGCGACTGTCAGGGCTTCTAATACAGAGAGCAGGAGCCTACTGTCCAAATGGGACTGCAATAGATCCAGGAGTGTCTGGTTTGAAATTAAAGCACAGAGATTATACAAACTGGTTCAGAACTAAATGTGCGGCAATCCTAAACCTGGAGTGCTGCCTTAGATACACGAAAACAGTATTTGGACACAATAGAGGAATAAACCCTAAACATAATACTTACATAGCACTCTAATGTGTACATTAGTTTACCAAGAACAGTCTCTATTTCCCCAACTCTCCTTCCATTAACTTATTACTACAGTAGATGTACCAGACCTGCCACCAGACATGAAAAGCATGCACCAACGCACATACCCTGTAGAGTCCTCTGGGGGTTCCCGAAAATATGTAAATGTCAGCCACCTCTTATGGGGCAAGTAACCATGTCTGTTCCTCCAAACTCCGTACTATTCAGGGCAGGTTGACACGTGCGCAATCCGTGACTGCGCGGCAGACGTGCACGAAACCTTGTGGATTTCCATGCGTTCACAGAGTCGCAGGCCACCGCTGATCGCGCTGGTGGTGCCATTCTTTTCTAATGGCACCCTAATCGCACCAGGTGCATCGAACACCATTGCGGCTAAATAAGCTGCATGTCGCAAAAAAAAGGTACATGTACCTTTTTCCACCGATTGCCACACGGATGTAACCCTATTGAAATCGCTGTGTGCAAGTACACAGGATCGCCCAGGTCTGCACCAACCCTCATACTATTGGTCATTGAAGCCATCCATCATAGTTATGACTGATGGGCAGATTGACAGTCAGGTGGCTCATGGGCGTTGGGCCTTGACTCATGACCACAAGAACTGGCTAACTTTTTATGTAATAGCCGGGAATTCTACATACTGTATGCTAGAGCTGCAGCTAACGATTATTTTCAAAATCGATTAGTTAGCCGATTATTACGTTTGATTAAAGCTGCGGCTATCAGCTGCTCCTCCTTACTACATCTCCCCGCGTCCCTGTGCCGATCGTGGATTTGGGCGGGTGGTGAGTGTGAGGTGGGAAGGAGGTGCGGCGTGTAGAGCGTGGATGCGGGCGGGCGGGTCTGGCAGCGGTGAGTTGGGGAGGAGTTGCGCCGCGCAGCATGTGTGGAGCCGTGAACAGGGCCAACTGATCGGAAGCCGATTAATCGATTATTGAAAAAGTTGACAACTTTTTCAATAATCGATTATAATCGATTATGTCGATTAGTTGTTGCAGCCCTACTGTATGCCTGCTTTCCAAGTTCCCTGACAGTTAAATGCAGACAGCACATGTCTGCATTTCTCCTGCCCATACCTCACTCAACTTTACTCATGACTTATTCAGCATTTTTTTTTAAATAAATAGACTTATAAGCTCTTATACTTACCTAAGTCCGTTGTTCATGTTTCACACCATAGTCTATGCCCATGTCCCACCACAGTACACCGGTCCCCTGAAGTACTTAAAAGAATCATGGACACCACTGGACAGTTAATAGGATGTACCCACATCAGTCAAGAAGTGATGTGGTCACAGGAAGAAGGACCCTCCTCCTCTACAAGAAAGAAGATGAAAGACTCGGGAACCAGCGCATCATGTGGCCATGGGTTTGGTTAAGTATTTCTGGCACTTAGAATCGTTTAGTATGGTGGCCCAGTGATTATATGGTAAATACAATGGAGCAAAAAAAAATAGACATGGAAGTGTGTTGTTTGCAGGATCCCCAGGTTAAAAAAAAAAGAAAAAGAAAACTAACGCAGCCACCTCATTTGTGGACTGGTAAGCTGGTATTTTTGCTTTGGGTTTGGATACACTTCAACCACTTGCTGACCGGGGTGTTTATACCCCCTTCCTGACCCGGCCATTTTTCAGTATCCAGCGCTGCAGTACTTTGACTGACATTTATTCCGTCATGCAACGCTGTACTGAAATGAATTTTATACCATTTTTTGGGGACAGATAGAGCTTTATTTTGGTGGTATTTAATCACCACTACAGGTTTGTTTTTTTACTGTATAATAAAAAAAAGTACCGACAATTTTGAAAAAAAAACCTGTTCTCCCTATGTTATGTTATAAAACATTTATTATTACCCAATTTTTTGGTAAAATATAAAAGACGGGGTCACGTCGGGTAAATAGACACTAAACATGTCAAGCTTTAAAATTGCACGCACCCGTTAAATCGCAAAAAACTACCATACTCAAAATTGACCATAATAGCCGACGCTTTAAAAGCTTTTACCGCTCATCGGTTTAGTGTTATCAGTGATTGATGACCCTAGAATTATTGCTCTCATTCCGACGTTCGCGGCGATATGTAACATGTGCGGCGCAATGGATGTAATCGGCGTTTTCGCATATAGGCGGGCTTGACGCATGTTTGTGTGTGCGTGTGGGGGCGGGGGACTTTCATTTTTTTTTTATTGCTTTGATATGTGATTTTTAAAATTATTTAAAAGGGCCAGGATAAAGAAGTAGTAGTAGAAAAGAAGCACTTGTGGGTTTAACCAGTTATTGCACATTAATTCTTTGCGGTCTGCGTCACTGGAGGCGTGGCAGGGGTGTGTGTCTTATGCTTATATGTATTGCAGTGACGTGCGGTACCGTTGGTTCCGGGTGAGGCATTCCCCAGCCTCGCCCCTAGCACGCCCAAAGCCCCGCCTGCCAAAATTCCGCCCCCAACCCGACCCCCAAGCTAGTGTGAGGGAGGGAGGAGGAGCCTACCTGTCCCTCACTTGGTCGTCACTGTTGAGGCATCAGTGTTTTTTTTTTCTTTTCTTTTTTTGATTGGACAGCTTGGACCAATGGCGCTTTGCCATTGGTCCAAGCCATCCACAGAGCTCGTGCCTCTAACACAGAGTAGAGGCTGTGACAGCTCTTGTCTCACTAGTTAGGTTACACAAGCAGTGGAGAAGCCCGCTGCTGTGTAACCTAACTACCTGTCAAAAGCCGGATGCAGCGCTGCCTGTATTTAACACGTTACACAGCGGCGAGTATTTCCCTGCTGTGTAACCTGATAGGAGCTGATCTGAATGGAGAAAAAGCCGTCAGCTACAGAGGCTCTGCCTCCCCTGACCGCATGTCCCTGATGTATTGTCTTATATGGTATCCCTCTTTCTCATCTCAGAAAGCTGGGAGGTAAGATAACCCCAATCGTATATTTTACAGATAAAACTATATAATAGAAAACCATGATTAAAATCATCCTTCAGCATTCCTCCACAAATTCACTCCTCTGGTGTATTTTGCCAACAAGTTTCTGTTGAGAAGAGTGACTCACTGTGTATAAAAAAAAACATTCAGAGAGGCCGATTATCAGCCCAAACCACGCTGCCGCCTCCCAGACTTTCCTGGCAATAGCAAAATGTTTCTGAGTCCGTAAAAAATAAATGCAGGGGGAAAAAATGAAAGTTATACAGAAGAAAGGAAAAAAGACAATTAAAAAAGCAAAACACAAAACAGTTGAGTACAACGATCCATTCAGAGAGGAGAGAAGATTGGATTGCCTTGCAATCCAACGTTGGATTATGCGATATGTGTGACGTTTTGTCCATATAAATGGACGTTATTTTTTTAACTTAATTTGCTGGTGATTTCTATCCTCCATTGACTGCTGCGCACGGCGCCATCCGTGATCGTCACATCGAGCACCACGATTGTTACTAGGACCGGGAACGCTTCAGGGAGTGCAGAGGGACTTACTGTTTTCTGGAATTTCCTTATATTGTAAAGAGCTGAGAAAACTGTTGGCGCTATATAAATCCTGTATCATAATAATAATAATAATTTCCATCGTCTGAGAAAATGAAAAGAATACATTTTTTTTTATTTTTTTAAAAACACACAATTTATCTTCTAAACACAGAAAGCAAATGATTAGTCACATGACATTTCTGCAATACAACTTGAACGGATCAATGCAAGTCACTATTCCTGCCATTTAGCTATACATATAATAACTGTTGGTGGTAGGTTGCCTTGATCCTTTTATTTCAATCTCATGTGTGGGATGAGAGTGGTAAAAAATTAGAATAAACTGCCATACATGACCAACATTAATCATTCACAGTAGTTGCAGACTGTCCAGACATTCTGGGGCTAGTAGTCACATGGCTAACAGGCATTCTGGGTCTTATAGTCCTGCAGCAGTTGCAAATGAACTGGGATGCAGTGTTAGGAAACCCCCGACCTTTCTATAGGGAACCTGTCATCACAGAATAATGGAACACAAAACTCATGATTTGTAAAAGGTACAAGTTCCAAGGCCATCATCCTGCCTCCATGTCTAAAGGTGCCCATACACCTTACAATTATCTGCAGATTTTCTGTGGTCAGGTGGAAAAGGTGCAACAGATTCCTCCATCTACACTTAACTGTGTGGATGGAGTAATCTCCACCTGGGCCAATCTGTTGCACTTTTTCCATCTGACCACAGAAAATCTGCAGTGAGATATTGACCTGGATTGAACTATTGACTCCCAACCTGCACATCTTCCACATGTGTGATTTGCTAAGTGGTGAGGATGAGGATGAAAGCCTCGAAACAAGTACCTACAAAAATACATTGGCAAAAAGCATCCCCATCTTTAAAACCTTGATGGATTTCAGTACCACAGCAACAACCGAGGAACCTAGGCAGGAGATGCTGGGACTTGTAGTTCCACAACTAGTAGTCCCAGACTCTACAACTGTCATACAGCATGCACTCCAGTCCCCTGAGGTTGGTGACTTACCGTGGGTCTCATCCACACCAGCCCCTGCACTTTGGGGGAGTTTGGTCCCAGTTCGTTGAACCCCAGTGAAGAGTGGATGGCTGGAAAAGAGGGGTCCTTAAACAAAGTCCCAGACTGGAGGCATTCGTTCCTCAGTGCTTCGTAGTCCTGGTTGAGGTATTTCAGAGCCTTCTCATTGGTGCCGTAGCCATTGGCTACATCCCGGTCATGGACCAACCTGGCCGCTGAACCGATCATCGCCCCTGGACTGTGATCACAGGAAGGTAGCCGGGAGGAAGTCACAGGAGGGGGCAAGTATGAGTGGCAGGAAGCTGCAGATGCATGCACAGGGAAATCACTGCACAGCAGTCCTTGTAGTGGGACTACTGGAGTGGCAGATGCTGGCAGACCCTGAATATATTAAAGCAGAGGGAAGGGAGATGCAGGCATCGGTATATGTTGGGAGTCTACTGCACGGTGCTGGCTGGATGCTAGATGGAGCAGATGCAGCTCATAATGAGTAACGTCAGGAAGGAGGTTTCCCATTACAGCTGCAGGAAGAGGCAGCCCAACCTGTCAGATGACATTTGCAGGGTGCGCCCTGTCCGAATAGGCAACTGCCAGCCTCATGTGTAATGATAATGCAATGCAGCTGAGAGCTAAGACTGCAGCATGCAGGATAACTGGCATTTCATCAGAACTGATGCATTGTATACGGACACATATTATACGTATATCAGTGCAGCTGAGTTGGCCAGGATCTCAACTTAAAGAGGACCTGTCAGTAACTTTACTTGTCTGCATAAAGAACTTCCTGATATATCACTATAGGCGGTCGGCAACAGTAACAAGCCATCCTTGAGCTCCAGTCAGTGACATTGCCGAGGCTCAGACGATGCCATCAGTCTGCTGCAGGCAGGAAGAAGCACTAGTAGACATGTGCAGGGCAAAAAAACATAGTTTTCATCATTTCAAACGTTTCCATTCGTTTCATCACAGAAAGCAAAATTTTCTGCTGTTTTGGATTCGGAGGCAACGAGCCTCCGAATCTGAAAATGCACACTGAAAATGCAGAACGAGCGGCAGCCACGTCAGCCGCCGGCGCGCCGCCATCTTTGAGTGGATCTTGGTATACACCAAGATGGCGGCGCCCATATGTTCGGGCACCGTCATCTTGGTGTATACCAAGATATACTCAAAGATGGTGGTGTGCCTGCGCAGAACATGCCGGAAGCCGTTATAGCCACTGCTGGTTCAGCGTGTGACATCACTGTAAAGATGGAGGCGGGCATGTGCAGAACATGCCCGCCACGCGTTCTGCAAACGAATGATGTATGCCCGAATATAGTTTTTGTATATTCGGGCATTTAATACATTCGTTATTTCGGATTCGGACGAACTGCTGATTTGCAGGTTCGTCCGAATCCGAATGCACATGTCTTGGCACCAGAACTAGTGTCCCCATTGGAAGATTTCCCATCTTTTACTGTTTTGATGACAACCCAAAATTTGGGATTTTGTTTCATTTTTTAGTGATAACATTCACCAGGACAAATAGAGAGGGTGAATCTCCCTAACGGGGACACAGACAGTAATAAAAGCCTGATAGGCTTCACTCTATCCAAAACTAAAAGAAAAAATGTGCCTTTGTTTGCGCTTACGGTGCCCACAGACATCCTGGCCATCTGTATTAATGTTCCTTCATTTGCAAGGTTACAGCATGGTTAAAGGTCAAAGTATTTCTATCTTAATATAGTTTAATGTTTACACCGAGCTATTGATTATCAATTACCAGCCTCCACCCAGAGCTCCACACTCAGTGTGTGTGACTGTATTGTACTTTAAAACTGAGCTCTAAATTGTCTAAATACAAGAGACGTGTATTCCTTCTGGAATCTGGGTGAGCTTTGTGTATTTCTTCCAGATCTGTGCAGTAATCCAATGTGAAAGTTGAAGCTTCCTGTAATAAAGACCGCTCCCTGCTGCTCTCTCTCCTTGTGCACGGGGACTGGTCTTGTCTCCACCTCCTGTAGTTTTTTGCAGGCAGCCTGTAGTGGGTGGAGCCTGCTGGGTCCCTCCCACTGCTCTCTGCACAGGCTAGTACAGCACAGCGATGATGTCACTACTACTTATACGGTAATGCAAATTATTTTAAGATAATATCTGGGTTTTCAAAGGCATTTGGTGAACACAAAGTGGATTTATATCTGATGGCTATGAAGGAATATATTTAAATAAAGGTTTTTATACCCGGAGTTCAGCTTTAAGGCTACCTGTCAGGTGTGAGCGGTTGCAGTTCAGGTGTTGGAATTCCATGTCGGATGGGAGGAAACATGTAAGACGATCCTTGTCATGTATGCAGCTAGGATGATGAATGATACCTCCCAGCATGCACTGCTCTCTGTCCATTCACATATCAGTCACAATAGGTCTGTATCCAGGTACTTCATTGCATCCGGACAGGAAGAGATGGGAAATCTCCCCAACTAGAATGCAGAGAAAGCCACAAGGGGCAGGAATTCTTCCTGTGCCTTCCTGGTCTAGTTACAACTCCTCCTCTATTTCTTGTCCTGGTGACACAGGGACAGGAAATCAGGAAAAATCTCCGCAATGGGGTAACAAAGAAGAATAAAAACCTGACAAACAGTTTAACAGCCGCGGGCCGAGTGCCAGCTGTCAAAATACAATAGCCTGGCAGGGGAGTTTCCCCCATCCATGACCTATAGCGTGGAAGGGTAGTCTAGTGGTGTATGTGTACAGTGTATGACCAGATTTAGGCTTTTAGGGCCCATTCACACTGGCCCGGTGTGGCATTCTACTTGTTGCTATGCATGGTGTTCAGGTGTATCTAAACCTAAGGACAAAAATGAAATATACTGCAGCTTACTGATCCTTAAATGAGGTGGCTGCATTAGTTTTCTTTTTAAGGCTAAGACTCATCTTCAACAATTGCAGAAATTACCTGTTGATCCTGCCATAAATGTAGTGTCCTTAGCATTTCCTGTGAGCTTAAAGAAGAACTCCGAGCCGAATTCTTGACCCTTGCAGTGAGGCTACCCCTGCACTACAAGGGTTAAGTGCTAATTTTTGTCTAGGGATGAAAATAAGAAAGTTATAGTTATCTGAACCTTGCAGCCAGCTGTTAGTCAGGTCCCTGCAGCCTGTCTCCTCCTCCGCACCACTGGTCGAATGTCCCTCAGCATCCTCACATCCAATACACTGTATTAGACACGATGAACAACAAAACCTTAGACCGCTGAAGTGACATTAAAGTCTACATTTTTTTCCCCTCCCCCACATGTTAATGAAAGCACTTACCTTAAATGATGTTTCTTAATCCGATCTTCTTCTTCTTTCCTGATGTTTTCATCTGTCCCTCCAGCGTTGCGGCTCTCCGATCCAGCTCCGATCCAGCTGGTCTCCCGGCCGAGAATCCGTACTGTGCATGCGCCCGCCCCAAGATGCTTTGCGGCTGCTCGATCAATTTCAGACTCTCCGGCAGGAGAGCTTAGCGATAACGCGGTAAGTGTAAACCGCTGTTAAAGCGGGTTTAAAAAAAAACAAAACTTTTTGCCTATATCTACTGCTTTGCAGCACAAGCTGACTGTTGTTTTATCTATTAATGGGCTATTGATTTTTATATTAATATTGGCTTCTGTTCTGCTTTTAATAAACTATATAAAATGGCGGATTAGCTCTTAACTGCACATCACAGGGCTGGAGGGCCTGGGGTTGATTAGAGAGTGTGAGGGCCCATTGGAGGGTATAGGGCCCATCCTTATAGTCTGCATTGTACAGGACATAGCATCAGGCTCCTAATTGATTTTATTTAAAGTGTATGTATAGAAAAAATGGTTCTTTTTGGTTTTCCTGTTCAGTCAGCAGGTGGCACACTTGGCTCTTTTTCAGGATTTCCTTGCCAGCTTCTATAAAAATCAGAATGTTTACAGAGCTCAGTAGCTGAAGCTATAATGTACACACACAGCTGAATGAGTCAGAGCAGTGACTCCACCCTCTAGGGGATGGCTCTTTACGTGCCTGAATGCAGCCAGCTACTGCCGTCCTATCTCTTTAGCTAACTCATAGTGCTCTGTGAACCTTTTGTCATGTATTAAACGTATAGCTGTTCTATCTTTGAAGGGGTTGTTAGGTAGGAGCAGAGCTTGGTGTAATTAATTTATTTAAAGCACAACCCCCTCCCACCACCACCACCAGTGCTTCAATTGAAGGCAGTATTATATGCTATATTTTTTTACTCCTTTTAGAAAAGTTTTCAAGTTCGTTGCGGTATACTACAAGGTCCTCTTCCTTATCACGTCTTCTCCAACGATACAGTGAGTGCTGCTGACTTGAGGGTGTCCTCTGCACTATTAGACAGTTAATGCAGCACACCGTGGTGACACCCCCTCAGAGGGCGGGCCCATGACTCCCTGCACTCACAATAGGTCCTGAACATCAATTGACCAGGAAGACTGATGACCTCTTGTGGTGAAAAGAGAGTACGGCATGGGACAGCACCAGAAAGAAGGTGAGTATCCCAGCTCAAGCTGCTCCTTTTTTTTCCACAGGCTAGGAGGCATTTCTACAAAAAATGAGACCATAAATGGGCTTTACCTACGTTAAAGGAAGACACATGCCCAACAAAGTAGGGGACCTTCTTTAAAAACCCAACTAACCTGCTGTGTAGAAACCATTATTAAGGGTAACCACTGCTCAACCACATGTCTCTTGTGTGCTCTGATTCAATTGTGCAAGGCCGGCTATGAGCGGCTCGACTTTCAGCTGATTCCTGCTGAATCTTCCAAAATTCGAGCTGTGGGTGGGCCGGCCACAACTGCGCTTGGATAAAGTTGATTGAAAAATTGTGGGGGGGAAAATTATTGGTCAAACAGTAACCGAGTCCACTCAGATACAGTGTCATTGTATTTGGGCAGTCATGGAATGCCAGGGCCTTTTAATACAATAGGTGGCAGGGGAGGTTACTCCATCCACAGTTCAGCATGGTCTGGAAATCTCGAGGCTGCGTGGCCACAGCGCTGAAAAGTATTCTAAAGTACTCCGGCCACGTCAACATAATAATATCTACATTTTTGTGTCTTAGACAAGAGCACCACTCCTGTAAGAACCTGTTACACCGGACACCGTGACAGCTGGCTGGGAAATCCCAGGTCTATACAAAGAAACTGAAGAACCCAAAGCTGTATACTTTCAGCTGTGAGAAATGTCAACTCTAAAATATCTGATAATTTATTAAAGGGAAATACCACTTTCTGCAAAAAAATAAATAAAAATAAATGCAGACTTCTTCATATATGAGAAAAAAAAAAAACTGCAGACTTCTTCGTTAAAGAAAAAATAATAAATGCAGACTTATGCATAAAGG